TTTTTTTTTTTTTTTTTTTGCAGTTCAGAATGGGCTAGATTGCAATTCTGTATTTTACATTCTGTAATATAAATTAGCCTTCTCTTGTGGATAGATTAAAAGCTGCCTCATACCACTATTTTTAAATTAATAGTTTTGTTCTTAATTCCTGCTCAGCTTGTTATATATCTGCTACATTAGAGTGGCCAAAGTCTAACCTTGTGTGTGTTTGGTCATCAGGTAGCTATAAAAAGGGCAGGTGTATAAGTACCTGTGGCTAGAACGGTTTGTTATGTAACTTACTTGTTAACGTAGGTTGCCACTGTAAGATAATGCATTTCAGCCGCTGTGCATCGTATTAAATTTTCTAGCACCACACGTGAGTATGTTAATGGACTTTTGTTTTCTTCTCTTAATTGAAGTCTTGAGTTTTGGTGCCAAGTTACCTTTTCCATGTGTGTCCATTTCTGGCCTGTGTGATGACCATTAATATTTGCCATCGCTTGTATCTAAACTGAAACTCACAGGATCAGATCTCAGTTCTGACCACACGTTTGTGTACGTTACAGGATCTAAGAGTGGTGTTTGCTCCATTAGGCTAAGTTGCAGTGCCCTCCGTCTGTCCTTGGGAGAGCTTCCTTTTTGGCCTGTGTTCACCGCCTGCTTCACGGGAGGGTTTCTGACGGCGGAGGGGCAGAAACTCAGGAGGAGGCGAGGTGTAGCCTTACTTACCCAGTGGGTGATAGGACAGTTGAGTAAGGATTTAAAGTTAGGCCTCGATGTGACATTTTTTTTTGGTACTGGGGATCCAACTTGGGTCCTTGCACTTGTGAGTCAAGTGACAGAACCACTGAGCTAAATCCCTGGCCCTGCCTTGATATGACTTTGGAGAAAGACTTAAAAATGTGCTGTCTGCTGATATTAAGACCTTTTTACTTCTAACCCTGTAAAGAGCTTTGAGCCTCAGGTTAGTTTCACTGTTAGTATTTTGGCCACTTTGTGTTTTTCTGGAGAAAGTGGAGGATGTTTCCATATTGACCAGCTGGACCAATATAACTGGTCTCTCTTCTCTGTCTTGCATAGAAGTAAAAGACCTGACCTGGACACAGAAGCCAGAGCTGCCTTCACTCAGGGCAGCTTGGCTGGTCCACTGCATCCCTCACTGTGTAGGGGCTGGTACTCAGTGGCGGTCCAACCTCGGCCAGAGGGGCTTTCTGTGGGAGCCCTTTATCCCGACCTACCCAGGTGGAGTGAGCTGTGTTTGGTGACGTAGGACTTGGGTCCTGGGAGAAGCCACACTGATGGTAGGCTTCTGGGGAAGCAGCTGTAGCCTGAGAGAGCAGGTAGGACAGTCTTCCTTACCTCACCTGCAAGACAGGCACAATTGTCTGGAGTGATGGAAGTCTGAAATTGATGCTGACACTTGCCTTGATGCTGTAAAACTTGAGGCTGGATGTTTAGAAATTCTTAATTAAAATAGAGTAGTTAGTTTAGTTTGGTTCAAAATTGGTGACCCTGTATGATCCGCATTTTATTTATTTTCTTATGGAATCCTGCCTGGAAGCGGAATTTACACCAAGACATGCATCAGATGAATACACCTAACCCTGGTGTCAGAAATGCACTGCAAATTTGTCCTGGCAAAAACGAACCCAGATTTACTTTATTAGCCATTCATTTTGAATGTGTGGTTTCTCTTCATTGATTGCCTTCTTTGTCCTTTAGAATAACAGCCCTGTTAGGAGATTTGTTAAAATTATGTCTCTGATTAGTATTCTGGTGTTACAAATAGTCCGAATTCTGTTAATCTTCACAGCCTAGCACTTGCCGCCCTCATCCAGTTGTCACTGCTCGGCTGTGTCTTGCTTCTCTGCCCCCTACCTGGGGTGCATGCGCTGGGTGGAGGGGCCACTTCTGAGGTGCTACCGCAGGATGTCCGCCAGGCAGGAGCAGATGACAGGCTGACCATGCTCCAGAGCTCTTGGCAAATTGGGTTCAGAACTTTATTTTTCATAACTGCTTGACTAATATATAGATTCAGTATTTCTTTAACTACTGCTTTTACAGATAGTGCTTTCAAATTAAATCAACAATTTCTAAACCCCAGTGTCTTTCTCCTTTGCTAAATTACAGTTAGAGCATGTTAGGTATTTCATCAAACTCTTTGAATGATGCTCTTAGATTTTTTTTTTTGGTACTGGGGATCGAACTCTGGTCCTTGTGTTTGTGCAGCAGGCTGCGAAACCACTGAGCTAAATCCTTGGCCCTGCTCTTAGATTTTAATGTATGCAAATATAACTGGTTCAGTTGCAACCTCAAACTATTCTTGGTAATATTGAACTTGAAATGGAAACTTGGCACCAAATTTATTCAGGCAAAAACTTTTTCGTACAATCGTTTCTTCCTGCTGTTAAGAATATGCTTATAAAGCCTTATTATATTAAGTTTGGATACCAAAGGGTTAAAAATACACATGTATTTCTTTTACTTAAGATACTTTAGATGTTTGCTAATGTTTTGTACAAATAAACATTTAGTAATGTTTTTATCTTTTTTTAATGATTCCATTTATTTGCTTATTTCCATCTAGGAATAGTTACTAATGTATTTGTGATACAGCATACCAAATTTTAAAGTAACCAGAATCGTGAGTTGATGGTTTTTTAGTCCATACTGTTAAATTTTGTTGAAATATTGACATATTTGAATTGGCTTCATGCTGAAATGACAAGAGGGAGCTTAGAGGGCAGTGTTGAGAGCATCCGCGCGTGGTCAGGGCGTCGCGGGCCAGCAGCGTAGCTCAGCGACTGCCCAGTACCTCATGTGTGTATGTATTTTTAATCCAATGTTGCCTGCAAATGTGAACCCGTATGATTTATAAGTTTCCTGTGTATGAACCATTGCCCGTTTTAAGTCACACAGAAGATTCTGAATCTATAAAAACTACACATGTCAATGTTTTCCAGCTACGTAATTCGAATTGACTTGATTTTTTCAAGTAATCCTAGAGAGGGGGAGCATTCCATATAGAAACTGCTGAAACTGCCACAGGTGCTTCTCCGAAACCTTACGGTTGTGGCATTGAATGTTCAGTATCGCTTCCCTCTGCACACAAGGCATACTGTTGAGGTATTTGTTGCGGTGATTGGTTTTAATGCTAATCTAGGAACTCAGATATAGATTCTTTAGATTTGCATGCTTTGCTTACCCTAATTTATGATATCTACCTTTTTATTTGTAAACTAACAATAGCTAAATTGAGATCAGAATTTTAACAGATATACTTTTATAGAAAAATTGTGGTTATCTTTTATTGTCGCATGGCATTAATAAAAAGAAAGCATCCCAAAGGTGACATGACACCTTGGGTTCTAAACACCATATCTCAGGTGTTTCCTGATCTGTGAATTTTCGAAATTAAAACAAACCAAAAAACCCCATGAAAACTGTTCTCGTTGAGTGGCTTCCCTGTTCTGATATTGTGGCATTATAAGTGAAAACTGAAGAGCGAGCTGGCCTCGGGGTGGAGTTGGAGTCCTGGGAGGGAATGTTCTTATGGGAAATAAAAATGAGTGTTTAATGTTGGTGCCAATTTGGCAGAACCCCGGACGCACAGTGAAGGCGATAGTCTCTGCTGAGTGCTGGTGGAAGACGTGGAGGACTTGGTGACTGCCTGAGCAGGGCTGTGTGGCGCGGGTGTCGTCCGGGTTTCTGTGAGATTGCAGCAGATTGAGCTGACCAGCGAAAAGCTGCTCCTGTTAGCGTCCTTTGAAAGGAGCAATATTTAAAACTTGGCAGAACTGGATCTGGTTTGAGCATCAAGTCTCTCATTGTGTAATTTTTAAACCTGCTCATTTTCAAAGATTTCCCTGATAGGTGTTGGAGCAGAGAGGGCAGCCAGGGCTTGAGACACCACCCCTTTGTGCCAGGGTGACCACACTGAGATTCGAGCAGGAGTCAGGTGTGGTGGTGTGGAGACTTGTCCAAACACGGGATGTGTAGTTTTGTGTTTGCCAGCTTTCATGAAAATAGTCTTGGAGCGCATAGTTGACAGTTTCCTCAGATAGCTTCGATTTGCCTTGGGAAGAGCATAAATCCCCTAGTCCTGTCAGCTTTGTCCTTCCTGACTGGGGGAGTGTCCAGGGTCCTTCATGGTCACCTAAAGGCTCTTGGTGTCTGCTGACCCTAGGGTGCAGGCTGAATGCCGACTGCCGACAAAGGCGGGCTCCAGAGTTGGGTGGGCCTAGAACTGAACACACAGAATTATACGGAGCTGAGTGTTCAGGGTCGTAAAGGCTTGTCAGACACATCGGTGCCTGGGAGCTGCACAGTTGGCGTGGAATGCCTCCCTATGGTCCCGCTCTCTGCACAGAGGGCTGCCACCTTCGCTGTTCCCAGGGTGACCGTGGGCCAGGGCCTGGGCTGTGCATCAGGAGGTGTGAGAGGTGCCGTGGGAGGGGCAGTGTGAGCAGAGCAGCCCAGCGTGTGGGACCAGGTAGGGGTGGTGAGTCGGGGCAGGAGCTGCTGCCCAAGCTAGATTGCGTGCAGCCCCCTCAGAGCATGAGGCACAGTCACTGGAAGAGGAGGAGGGATTCTGCTTTCTGTACGGCCCTGCAGTGGCCCAGAGATGGAGTCTTGTCGGTTCCTCCCAAGTCCCTGTGTCCCAGGCAGACATTTCCCAGAGCCCCGCAGCTCTCGGTGTGGCCACTGGTGGTGGTGGTGGCTGGTGGCGTGGTCCACACCCGGGAGGACGCAGTATGATTGGCCTCGGTCCTGCTTGGGAGCTCTTCCTGTGCTTAAAGTGAGTATGGGAGATGGTGGCCGACTCCAGCGCTCTGGTCTCAGCTGAGTGTGGAGCGCTTCAGGGGGAGTAGGGCAGGAGGGAGCTCCGGCCGCGTCACAGTCCGAGTGGTCTCCTTGTGTAGCCGTGCGCATTCTGTGTCCAGGTTTTCCTCCCTGGCCTGGCCTTGATGACAATCAGTGACATTTTTTAAAAGCTGTTTGCTGTGGTTTTCTGACCTCAGACTCACTGTAGAGCGCTTGCTCCTGTCAGTTTTGTTGTTAGTGCTTTTATTTGTCTGGTGTCAAACGGCAGCTCATTGTTTCTGTATTCTTTGGTTTTGGGGAGCAAGACTGAGCTGCCTGGGGGAATGGTCGTTTCATGACTGCTTGTGTTCTTGGTGTCTGTCCCTTGACAGAGTAACCCGTCTGGGCTCCTCACTCTGCTGCCCTCTGAAAACGAACGCCACTGTCCTGTTTGAACTGCACTGCACTTTAGTAACACGTGGGCTTTGTTTGGGATGTGTGTAATTAATATGAGCTCACTCTGCCCAACCTTTGTTTCTTTTTCATTTAATTTATATATCAAAAAAATGCAGGATGGCTATTCATCAGAATTTACAGCCTTGGATTCTTATGGCAAATTAAGATGTCGATGTTAATCCTAATCATCCTGTGTGGTGCACCTTTTATTTTTAAGAACATCTTGTTGATTTCTGGCATTCTCAAGTCTTACCTCGGTATAGCTCCTTAAATTGGGTTAGACTCTCCCTTCCAAGCATACTGTCCTTTATCTCATGGTTCAGAAAGGAGCCACGTTGAGCGAGTGTCCAAAGCCCTTTAAAGCGTCTCGTTCCCGAGGCTAGAGCCCACATGTGTGAGGCTGGTTGTTCCCGTGAGTGAAACCAACTTTCTCTCTTGAGTGGTCTTCTAACTCTGAGGCCCCGTGCCAGGCTCAATCGCAGTGGTGCTACCCACAGCCTGCATTGCGTGGCCTCTGAAGCACGGGTGGGGCAGCGGGGTGGGCAGGCATCCCGCTGTCTGTCCACCACAGCTGATGCTTGCTTTGCAGAGGTGTGCTTCACAGAGCAGTGTGTCTTGTCTGCCCTCCAGGGACGGGTTGCCTGGAGTTGGTTCTGTTCCCTCTGTTTAATTCCATGTCGTGGTGCCTTCAAGTCCCTCTGATTCTCTTCTGTTTTATTCGGGTCTTGCACTTGAATTCTGACCGTACTTCTTGCTTTGATCTGAGCCTTAGTTGCCGCCCCAGCCAGAGGCTTTCTTTTCCATGTCAGTAGCTGAGTGAGGTGTCGGTCTTGGGGTGCGGGGCGCTTAGCCAAAGGGGTGCATTCCCAGGACAGCATGGAAAGCCTCAGAGGAAATGCCTGCTCAGGTGCTGCAGAGTGGCAGCGTGCAGTACTCCTCCAGGTTTTCCTGAGCAAGGCCACAGCCCAGACTGCAGTGCAGCTGTTCAGATGGGGAGGTGACCTGCCCTGTGGCAGCGGCAGGGCCCCTGAACTTCCACTCATAGTGCCACGATTCAGCACAGAACCTGGCTTCTTGCTAAGCCAAGACTCGCTTTGGGAAGCCGGTTGCTCTAAATGCCATGGGCAATTTTAGTACATGTTTGTTTGCTATGATTTTACTGAGGCTAAAGGATGGGTTATTAAGTAAGCGCAGATAGCATAGAATCTAGTTTCAGCTGAAGTCTGAAGTTAGCATAAATTTAGGTCTTCAGACTAACATAAAACATGATTTTGAGAAGTTTAACAGGAAGATGCCTTTTTTAAAAGTTTAGTATACTGATTTTTAAAATTACTATCTCCCAAATTTTGCTTAGAAATCAGATATGTTTAAGAGAAGTTAGTTATGGAGCCAGGATGATTAACTGCTTCTTTAATGCAGATTTACTGTAAATTGTTGACTTTGTGTCACCCCTCAGATAGATAGTCAGTTCGGCAGAGCAGAGACCAGCTGGGATGCAAGCGGGTAGTAATTCGATGTTTTGTGTTGTGCAGCCTGAGAAATGCCAGCGGCCTGACAGCAGCCGACATTGCCCAAACCCAGGGCTTCCGAGAGTGCACCCAGTTTCTCTTGAGCCTCCAGAGCTGCCACCTGCACCGTTTCTGTCACAATGGCGCCGTGAGCGGGGGGCACGAGAACGTGTTCCCCAGTCGTCTTAGTGTGGGAACAAACCGAAAGAGGTGCTTGGAAGACTCGGAACCTTTGGGTGTGAAGAAAGCTAGAACCGGAGGTGAGACCAGAGGTGAAAGCGCTGGGCCTGGGCGGGGCAGGCGGGCGGGCTCTCAGTGAGGCTCAGACTCGGGCCCTGCAGTTTCTCAACCCCAGCTCCGCTTCTGCCTTCAGCGGGGAAGATGCGGCCCCCATACCGGGAAGGAAGATGTTTTTATTTGTTGCTCCTATTCGGAATATAACTATTAAAAGAAATCTGCTACTGTGCTTGATTTGTTTTTTGTTGTTATTGTTTTTTGGCTTCTTGCAAATGTGCCCAGGTTTATAAAAGTTGTTGATGATCTGCCAGGAAAACATTTTTTCACACCGGGGAAGGTGACTTTTCTGAATGGTCACTGTGGGCTGAGACCCTGGCTGTCCCTGGGCCCACGTGGCTGGCAGCAGTGAGTCGGAGAGCAGAGGAGAGCCCGAGTGATGGCAGCCATGGCCTGCGGTGTGAGAACGTCAGCAACCGAGTCCCCACGAGGATGGCCAGGCCTCCGCCAGCCACAAAGGCCCAGGGGTCATCGTCACCTTTAGGTTTCCTGTGGGGCAGCAGCTACCGCTCCAACGCTGGGCCATTCCACACCACTCAAGCATCTGATGTCCCGGCTCTTCCTGTCATGCTGACGAACATCTGTTTCACAGCTGTTTAAGTCCCACACTGTGAAGACCTGGAAGAAGACATGACTCTTGTAGAAATGAATGTGTGAACTTAAATGTAATTGTTGATCAAAGTAAGACTTTTCTGAAAAGTTGTGGACCTAAGAATTTCTAGAATGATGCCGTAAAAATCATGAGCATGGCATGAAGGTACCTGAAAGTCTCAGTGGTGGTTGTTAGTGAAGTGTTGCTCAGCATTGTCATTTGTTTGTACCATGCTGCAGTAGATATTTAAAATAAATTTTTTTTTTGGTACTGGGTTTCAAACTTGGGTCCTTGGTACTTGCGAGGTAGGTGGCAGAACCACTGAGCTAAATCCCTGGCCCTAAAATAAATTTTAAAAGCTCTTTAAGGATATCTTTTTAAAAAAATGTTTACACTTTCACTTACAGCCTACTCCATATTGGGAAATGGTTTAAGTGTTGGCCTCTGTCGTTCCCTCATGCATCAGTTGCACATGTGTGCTCATTTATTAGTTTAAATGTCCATCAGAAGTGATCTGCACTTGGCCATCTTTGCTGATAAATCTTAAATTGTGTTCAGTGTTTTCTTTCAGATGTTACTTCACATTCTAATCACACTCAGAAATGGGGACCTGGGGAACTTTTAACACCAGCCTCTGACAGTTTTTAACGTCGGTTGAGTTGGCCAGTGTTGAGCTTATGCACCCCATGCATTTCCAGGGGTTCTCGAGCTTTCCCAGACCTTGTGTGTTGTCACAGACGCGCTGCGCTTGTGCTCAGAGGTTTCATGCTCCTTCCGGGCTGCACGATGGCTTTGGCGAACCATGCACAGAGGCGCCTTGCTGCACTGTGCGGCCTTCCCACGCTGCAGCTCCTAGGCCTGGCCTGGCCTGGCCTGGCCCAGCCAGGGTGCTAATTCAGCCGGAATGGGGCAGAGCTAGGCGTCTCTGTTCTGCCAGTAATGATTATATAGCCCTAGTGGTGACCAGAGCACCGAGTGCATGTGAAGTGAGGCAGGACATTTCTTGGGAAGTTACAGTAGAATCCTGTGTTTGTTGAAACATGGTTTCATTCTAGACAGGCAGGACTCATACTCAATCCTCCTGCTTCAACCTCCTGAGTGCTGTGGTTGTGCAGAGCAGCTCTGTAGGACCACAGGGGCTATCTAACAATCCCTTGTGCTTCGCTTCTTCTCTTGTATTGCACATCCTTAGTGTGACCATGTGTCACAGATGTGTGTCCCTTTTCCCATTGTTTTTCTTGTTCCACTGTCACGTACTGTGTGTGAAATGTGGAGTATTAGGACTCATCTTCAGCCAGTTTTCAGCCAGTTTTCAGCCAGCAATTCAAAGATAGATTGCTTTACCATTTTCGCTGTAATTTTGGCATTTGTTTTGATTTACTATTTTAATGTGTATGACCCTAAGTTTTGCTCCATCTGATTACTCATTTTGATAAATTTTGTATTTGCATGCCGGAGTCAATAGAAGGGTTTTATTTCCTCATATGACATGTACGAGTAAAATACTTCTTAAAGTAGCTTGATGTCTTACTTTTATTGTCACTGGAACATCACACGGGAGACCCACACCTCTAAGGCTCGGTCAGCAAGGCAGAGGGTAAACAGCTCCCAGCCAGGGCCGCCCTGGTGTGCTGAGCAGTCAAGGGAAGGTGTGATAGGCCTGCTGGGCTGAGCGCACAGTGGGACAGCCAATTTCCTCGGGCTCCACCCCAACTGCAGCCCCGCCCCCGAGGGCGTGCGGCCTTGGGGGATGTCTAGATATAAATAGTACCCCCTCATGTGTGAAAATATGTTTCCTTTTTTGGGGGGTTACCGGGGATCGAACCTGGGTCCTGGCGCTTGCGGGGCAGGTGGCGAAGTATCCTTATTTTTGCAATTGTTTATAAAAATTTACAGGTACCTGGGATATTTTGGTTGTATAAAGATGCATAGCTTGGGCCTTGTTAATTAAGCAGTCCATTCTGCTTTCCTGAATTCAGAAATTACATAGTGATATTTGGTGTAAACTGTGTACGTATTTGTGGGTGGGTTTTGTTTTGTTTGAGTCTGTCTCTGTAGCTCATGCTGGCCTCCTCCTGCCACAGCCTCCCAGCTCCTGGGATTACAGTCATGCACCACCATACTGGGTAGGAAATGTGCTTCTGTAAAGCAATAGCTCAGAAAACTTCCTAGTCACGCCAGCTTTTAGGGATCCTTGTGACTTGTGCCCTTCGCTTTGCTGTTCCTGAGGACCAGGCTTCCTCCAGAGAGCAGTGTCTGGCCCAGTAAGCGCTCTGGGTGTGGCTGCTGCAAGCCCCCAGGTAGGAAACGCCTCCAGCAGAGGAGGCTGGGCCCTGCCCTGTCAAAAAACTTCACAATAAAAAGTCTGGAGAGGCGTTCGTGTTGCTAACCTAAGGCAGAGTGAGACTTTGGGGCGGGGTAGGTGCCCTGGGTTTCCCCGGAAAGGAAAGGATGCCACCCCCTTGGGCCTCTGGCTGGCCAGGTGAGCACACGCCTCTCCCTGCGGAAAGGCCACGGGTGTGGCGGACGGCTGGGGTGTCTCAGTCTCGGCTGATGCAGCCCACTGTCACCTGCCTGTGCTGGCGGCCGTGCGAGACTCCCGTGACCCAGGCTGGCTCAGAATGGGGCTGTCCGGCCCCCCCCCCTGGCGCCGGGGTGACTGCACACCGTTAACCGAGTGGGGCAGGCGCGGTGCTCCACACAAACCTTCAGGGGAGAGCAGAGAGGGCCTCCCTCGGCCGCTCTCCTTGGTCCCCATGGCCCAGCCGCCATCCTTCGGGTTTGGCTAGACCCCAGTGAGCCTGTTTTATTAGGTGGCCTGTGTATTTTTCCGGCTCGAGTGGGCTTCCTTCCCAGGGTTCTGTGGCCCCTGGGCTCAATGGACGGAAACGCAGCACTGCTGCCTCCATGAGGCTGTTTCATTTGTGTCTCAGCTGTCGTGGGTTTTTGACCGCTGCCTTTTAGGGAAGTTGTGAAAGTGACCTCTAGTTGCCACATGACGGGGACCCTCTGTTGGCCTCCGAGTCCCATGCAGCAGCAGGGCTACGGGCTCTTCCACCCGCCCAGTGAGTTTTGTGAGCTGCGCGGCTCTCGCCTGCTGAGCTGGTTTGGAAGTCGGGCAGGGGCCTGCCGACTCCCGGTGTGAGGCGGTGGGGCAGTGGAGTGGTGAGAAAAGCCTGTGGTAGAAGAGCTGAGGAGCGCCTCTGGCTTCAGGGCACCTGCCTCCCTGGATGCTCGGCAGTTCTGCTTTTCCCACCTGTGCAGACCACGCCCGTTTCTCGCCCTGTCGTCGTGGCCGTCAGAGCTGGTTTCCCCTTCTGTAGGTAAAGTCTCTGTGTGAGCACCGCGTGTTTAACTGGAATGACGGCAAAGCTGTCTTCTGCTTGTAATGTTTACTTGAAAGCATTTGGCACCGAGAGTTGTTTGTTTTGTGTATTCTTGGGCCCAGAAGTAGTTGTATTTATTCTGTTCTAAGAACCATAAATGCCAGGTGCACTTGTGAGGGTATCAACTAACACATGTGTGACCGGAGACAAAAGCAACCCACAGCCATGCATGAACTAAACATGCTTAGAAGGTTCCTTGGCGTGGGACATGTGCGGTGTAAACGAGTGAAGGTACAACTGCTCTTCGCTGGGGTTCTTTTTGGTTAAAACGTTCTGATTAAAATTGGAAACTGTGCGTCCAGTGGGAGTGGCTGCTCTGAGAAGTGAGGTCGGCTTTGGGGAGGTGAGTCGGCGGCCCGCGGAGCGTGGAGCGTGTGCGCTGTGTTTCTGTCTGGACTTCTGTGTTTGGTGCTCTGGCCGGTGTGCTCGGCTGCGTGAGCCTCATAGTCGTGCTCTTGAGTTCCAGCTTCCTGGGGTTTGGCTTGTTTTTGTTAGTGAATTTTTTAAAAACTCAAAAGTTTTTTTTTTTTTTTGGTACTGGGGATTGAACTCGGGCCCTTGCGGTTGGTTGCACAACAGATGGCGAAACCACTGAGCTAAATCCCCTGCCCAAAAACTCAAACGTTTTTCAAATGGTTTTAAGTTATTGAAGAATCTTCTAAGTATTTAAAAACCATGTACTAAATTTTTAGAAGCCTACAATTGCGTTTGGGTTATGTAACATCTTTATATTCAAGTACAGATTTAAAAGCAGATGTTTTATCACTAGGTAATCTTTAAAAAGGCTCTGGAGTTCCATGAAAAGCTCTTTTGTTTGAGAGACAGTTCCTTAGTGGCGTCTGAAGTTGGTTAGTGGTCTTTGATTTTTGAGTCATTTGCCAGGGTTTTTTTTGTTTTTTTGTTTTGGTAATGGGGATCGAACTCAGTCCTTGCACTTGTGAGGCAGGCGCCGGAACCACTGAGCTAAATCCCCAGCCCCCCATTTGCCAGTTTCAAAGCAGGCAGCGCTGGCACAGAGGGAGAAAGTGAGTCTGCACTTGCCTCGTCTACACAGAGGAATCTGAAAGTCTCTGTTTTCCCCACAGCTCCGGGTCTGGATTGCGCCATGCCACTCGCGAATGGCGAGGCGGAAGACGAGCCCGACAGAATGCACGTCGATAGAGAGTTTGCCGCCGTAACAGGTGGGAGTGGACAGGTTCCTGTTGGCTGCAACGACAGCCCAGTGCTCGAGGACACCGCGCAACGGGAGAGTGGTTCTGTCGGACCAAAAGAAATAGAAATATATACTGTTTCCGCAATGCAGACCCCTTGTCGTTGCAAGAATCAGTATGCATATTATTTCTAACATGCATTTTTCTCCAACTGTTTTGCACTTTGCTGTCCAGTGTCTTTTGAAAATGTTACATTACAATATGCGCACTTCGGGCAGGCTGGCAGGAAGAAGTGTCTGTTGCATTCCTGGTATGAGAGAGATGAATGCAGTCTTCCTGTTTTGATTTGGCTTTTGCTTCATGTGCCTTGCTTGCTTTCAATGAGGTTTGCAGTTGTAGTGCTCTGACGTGACCTTGGGGTGAATAGACCCAGCCTGCTATGCTTGTGTTCCCAAGGCAGCAAACACTGAGAACTGGTGAATGCCATGCTCCGGGCTGTCACCCACTAACGCCACAGGCATCCCCAGCCCGCTCTCGGTGCTTTGGTGTCTGGCATCCCACAGCGTGCTGAAACCCCAACGCTGGGCATTGCTGCCAGAGCCCTGTACCTGCTGGCGCTCTGGGAGTGTTCACAGTTTGCCCTCATGCTTTCGGTCTGTTAAAGGCAAAGGCTCGGTCTCCTCTCGAAGTTGGAACAGTGATGGTGAACCCACATGGGCTACTTAGTCACTGAACCTGAAAGGCTCGCCATCACGGGTTAGGACGTCTACACAAGATGGATCTGTTCAGCTAATGCTGTTTTCTGCTGTTCTCTTGCTTAGGTGACCCCAGAAACACTTTAGCCTTTTTCTTAGGGTGTTAATATGTTTACAAGTTCTCAGTTTTTGAATTCATTCTCATGTATTTATGATAAATTCTTCACTGGGAATAAAGGTCGTGTATTTTCTTTCACAAACCCACAGGAAAATACCATTTCTGTTCATTTTAGGAAGGAAATGCGTACATCTTCCCACAAGCGACAGGATTGCTCTGTGTGGTGTCACCACTTTGCCAAATAAATGAAATTAGCAGATTTTTCATGGGTAGTGCTCATCAGCCTGCTCTTCAGGAAAATGCCACTGCTTCATGCCTTAGAGTTGAGCGCCCGCCCCTCGGCCTCCCGTGCCTTTACGCCAGCCCTGGCTTGCCACAGTGTCGGCCCCAGAGGCTCCGGGACTGGGCGAGGGTGGGGCCTCCTGTCCCTGAGGAGCGAGCACCCTAGAGGTTGGGCTACTACCCGTAAACACTTCCACTGCCCTTGGATTTGCTCTCTGGCTGGCCTCATTTTCAGGAATGATGCAGCTTTGAGAAGCTGTTCGAGGCATGGCTTCATGTTTTGATGCTGGTGCGGGGCATGAGGCCTGGCCTCCTGGTGGGTGCAGGAGTGGGAGCTCTGAAGAAGGCAGGATGGGCTGCACCCCTGGCAGGTGGCACCTGGCGGTAGCTGGGCCGCTGGGCGGGCAAGGAAGTGCAGAAGTCTTGCTGGAGGCTCACAGGGAGGTTGGAGAGGCGGCGAGGGAGTTCTGGTTTTACACCCAGTTTATTAGATTTTTCCAGGACAGATGAGGTTGTTACCCTGATTTTGAGTGCCAAAACCAGTTTACTTTAGTTGGACACTAAAGAAAAATTGTACTTACTTTATTTCATGAAAACTGACACCGCAGGGAGCTCTAGTAACTGCCTAGGGTGCCATTGTCTCAGCACGCTTTTCGTTACCTGGGAAAGGTGATTCATTTATTTGTTAAAAGAATGATATGAAATTTCCCCTGGGAATAACTGGTTTTGTTTTTTTCTTTGATTTTATATTTAGTCCTTGAAACTTGTTCTCTAATCTTGAGTTTGAACTCTATACAAAAACCATCACTTACTTGAAGAAAAGTCATTTGAAGAATTTATAGCACTTTCTGAACGATGCTTGTTGCTTGAATTGCAAAAACAATAAAGGATGGTACTGGAATATTTGTGAGGGCTTTGCTCATTGAACAGCCAGGGTCACCTCTTGGCAGTGACCACAGGACTCATGCGGACACTGTTGGTTCTGCTGGTGAGGAGAGGAAGCCCTTCATGGGAGACCGTGTGACCCGTGAGGTGAAGGTGGGGTTTAGAAGGCACCGGCTCCAAACGTCACGAGCACCGAGCTGTGCATTAACACGGTGCCGTGTCTTGATGGCCCAGAATATCCAGATAGAAGTATTGCTGAGCAGAAGGCAGTGCTGGATCATTCTGTGTACGATTGTACAAACCCTGTGCATTGTAGGAATTCTTGGATTCTGATACACAGAAAAATCAGTGACTTCTGTCCCAGCATGCCCCATGCTTGATGGAGCTTTTCCTTAGGCACCCCACCTGGGGGCAGCCGTGTGGGAGGCTGAACATCCGCATCTGCCCAGCACCCCTGCCTTTCAGAGAATCTTAACACAGCGAAGCCCTGACTGTCACACTCGTGTTAATGCTGTGCTCAGAAGAAACCGCTCCCACGTGTGGCTTGGCCCTGGCCTGCCGAGTGGTCGGCCCTGCGACTCCGCTGCTCTCCCCGCGGTGCACTGCCTGTGCACGTGTGTTGTGGAGCAGCATGTGGGTCCGCATGCGTGCACTGAGGGACAGGCAGCCGCTGTCATGGTCTGGGGACCCCCCGGATTCTGTTTTGGGCAGACTGGGGAGCCTGGGGTTCAGGCTTCCTTGCTCGCTGCATGTAGCTTTTCCCCCTTCGGTACTAGAGCAGTTTTCTGTACTCATGTGGAAAACGTGACCTTCAGTTGTGACCGATCTCTCAAGGTGATTTTTAAAACGGGTCTTTGAAAGAAGTCAAAATGAGAACAGCTTTTTGGTGGCTTTTCCATACTGTTAGTATTTCCCATGCAGCATATTTGCCAGCTTGGATTTTTAAAATTTGATTACTTAGCGCTACTGAAATGCATGCCTTTTCCTATCATACCGGGCAGATGCTGTTGTGTTTCTTTATAAGCCTATCTATACATTTTTTTTTTTTACTTTGGGAAAGGAACTGGTTTAAAAAAAACAACAGAAAAACAAAACCCAATAGAATTGTAGCAGCAGTGAAGCATTTTGTAGTTTCTTCTCCCAGTTGGTGCTGAACTTTGGTGACAGGTGTATTTCTTAATGCAGATGTGAAAAACAGTAGCTCCATGTCGAGCACACTGACAAATGGCGGTGTCGGCAATGGACATTTGGACTTCCCCTGCCCGCGCCACCTCAATGGGATGGACAGCAGGAGCGACCCGTGTGGTACAGGAGCTCCCGGACTCAGCAACGGATCGGCTCTCGTCTGTGCACACGGAACCGAGGAGCCGGAGGGGACCCCGAGCACCAGCCCCGAGATGTGCGGCGCTCTGCACCTGAATGGGAGCCCGAGCAGCTGCGTGGCCAGCCGGCCGGCCTGGGTGGAGGACCTGGACGTGGGGGAGAGCCTGCACTATGGACACTACCACGGCTTCGGGGACACAGCTGAGAGCCTCCCGGAGCTGCACTTGAGCTGCGTGCGGGGGGAGCAGCGCTAGGCCAGTGCCATGCAGCACCTGCACCCTGGCTCCTGAGGCCGCACAGCTCGTTCCGGGGGTGCTCGGGGTGCGTCCCGGGGCTTCCATGTGCGTTCCACCGCAGGGCTACCGGCCGCCCTTTCGTAAGACACACTTTTGGAGTTTCGTTTTTCTGACACGAGTCTCTGTTTTTTAAAGATGTGGTCACAGAAACTTAGAAATTCAAAACTTAGTAATTCAAAAAAAAATTCAAAAAGTAATTCAACTTTTGTAAGTTGAATTACACCGAGATGGCTCGGGGACCTGAACGTGGATCCGCACCTGCTCCCCTGACAAGTTTGCTGCTGCTTCCCTGTAGGGCTAGCGCTGACCCGGCCACTCGGTGGGCCACTGCCCCCTTCGGTGTCTGGGGATATGAGTGTGGCTGCGCACAGAGCAGGCAGGCCTGGTGCGCGCTTGTGCCCTGCCTTTCCTACCTGTCTGGGGTCCTTACCACAGATAACGGTTTCCTTTACAGTAGGAGAAGTCAGTATTTGTAGAAACTGTCAGGTCAGAATATTTAACTATTTTGACTGTTTTTCTTGTTTTTGTTTTTGGGGTTTTATGCTTTAAAATATATACATATACATACATACATACACACATGTGCAGTTAACTGAGAATTTTTAATCTCTAAATAAAACAGCATTAAGTTTATGGTTTTTTAGAAATTAGCTTTTATTTAGCAACTAGTGGTTAAACCGTGCAAATATTGTAATGACTTCTTTTCTGATTTTTGTAATAACAGAATGTCAAACAAAAAGCTGATGTTCTGAGCATACTAACATTTCGTTTTAAACTGTTCTTCACAGACTGAATAAAAATTTGCAGTCCGTTGTGGCTGGAGTGAGTCTCTCCGGGCGGGCGGGCGGGTGGGCCGCACATCTGCTGTGGCGTCCGCCTGCTCACTCTAACAGACAGCACGCAGCCGTCCCAGCTGACTTGGTTTACAGATATTGAAGAGATTGTAAGCCTTTTCAGGAGTAACTTACACTTAGAAAATGGCAAGAGTTGCCCTCTGGCGGCCTGCATGTTACTTAAAGTGTGTTCTTGTGAAGCCCAGGCCAGCCCGAGGGAGCGTCTGGCGCCGAAATGTCAGTCTCACGGAGAGCAGCAGGCGCGGGTGTGTCGTGTGTCACTCGTGCCCGGAACCCAGACTGGGCCCCAGGAAACGTGTCTACTGGATGGGTCCCAGTGGCCACTGCCCCACTCGGAGGCTGAGCAGGAGAGGAACCCAGGTCTGCTTGGATGGCGCTGGACCTGACCGGAGCCCTCTTGCCAGTCAGTGCCTGCTGGGAAGCGCGAAGTGGATCTCTTACAGTGCAGTACAGAGCGAAGCATCTAGTCTGGCCCTTGCTAAACTTACGACGGTCTAAGTCTGTAGTGGGGCAGCATCCACACTTCCGCCGGGGCTGGCACAGAGCTGGGCTATGGCAGAGCAGTCCCCGGCGTACCCGGTCCTAGCTAGAGACCGGAAGAAAGCTGTGAGGAGGGGTGGGGACAACAGGTGCTACTACCGCAGCCTGCAGGGAGAGGATGCTGGCCGAGGGCACGCGACTCGTGGGTGTGGGAGAGTGCTTTGGTTTTCCTTGGACTCGGAGGGGTTCGCTGGCATGCAGGTGCTTTGGCTGAAGACCCTTTCCTGAGCTTGTCTTCTTGTGTAGAGCACACAGTTGGAATAAGAAGGAAAGTCTATTTAGAGTAGCGCTGAACTCGTGAGATGCCTGGGAATGCAGTTGAGAAGATGTGAAAGTAGGTAGCAGAGTCGCCTCGTGCAGGCAGAAAGTGGTAAAGGCAGGCAGTCAGGTGTTAATAGTGTTTGCAATTTGCTGTGGCTGTCGGGGTCAACGTCCACAGCACTGAACTGAATGAATTCCCAGGTGACCTGAAAGTCACTTTGTACTTAGGCCTTTGCGCCCATCTGATGGGGGCTGATTGGGAGCAGCCCTGAGCGAGTTCTGCGCAGGCCCAGATGTTGAGGCGCGCCATCATTCAGTACCAGCTCACCAGCTATGAGCTCACGAAGCCACGGTGGGGCTGTTGGGTCCGTGCTGGCGGGTCCAGGCTTGCAGCAGTGCAGATCTTGCTGGAAAGCTCCATTTTTGTCACTGGCTTGGCCTCAGTGTGCCGGCCTCTCTCGGTGAGTGTTTTTCAAATGCTGACTGCCAGGTGCCCAGGTCTTAGCCACCACTTGCCAGTTGTGCTTTCATTTCTTTTTCTGTTTCTTTCCCAGTACAGGGATCGAAGCTGGGACCTTGCGCTTGCCAGGCAGGCACCACGGAGCTAAATCCCCAGCCCAGGTCATGCTGTCAAAGGGAAGCAGTTCCTGCAGATTCGCGGGAGTGCTTGCCTGGGGTGACCATTGCCCTGTGGAATCCCACACATAGACTGCACTTGGTCACACGGTGTGTCCTGGGCCTGGAGTTCAGTAAAGCCACTGCTGCTGCATCAGGAGGCTTCTTGTTTTTTTGTGTGTGTGTGGTTTTTTTTGTGCACAGGGAGACTGGAATAAGCAGGGCAGCTTGCTGCTGAAGTGCTAGCAGATTTTCCTGCCATTTCCCTGAATCATCAAGGCATTGTCGCCATGATGAAAAGAGCGAGTCACATCTTGGTAGTCACATTTGTAGCTCGTGAGCCCCTAGAATGGTGTAGGGATGCAAGGTTCCATGGGGCACAGTTTGAAAACTGGATGGGGGTGTTGGGGGCAGTGACGTCCACAAGCCTCGGAGAAGTTCTGGGAAAGGCAGGAGCCCTCACCGAATTACTCCTGACTGCCCTTCCAGGAAGGCAACGGAATCCAGAAAACTTGCCCTGAGGAGCAGAGTGGGGCTGGGTGGGGGGTGTCAGCCAGGTTGGGACAGGACGTGCCCCGCTGAGAACTGGTGGGCATGGTGGCACGACCCCATGAGAGGACCCCGGGCCCTGACAGCCATGTCTGAAGTGAGGACCCGCCAGGGGCAGGATGGGCCAAGGGCCAGTCTGGAAGCAGAGGGGGCCCCCGAGGCCCGCTCCGCCCTGCAGGCCCATCTGGAAGCGGGCTCTACTGGGACTGGGCAGGTCCACAGTGGGGTGACCCAGGCCGGAGAGCCACCCTGTGGAGCGGGCGTGGGGGTGTGCGAGCTGCCCAGCCACCCTAAGATACTCCCTGCCCGAGCGGGCTGTCAGCAGGTGTGAGATGGGGAACGGACCTGCCGGCTGCAGATAGCACGTGTGCCCTGGGCCGGGCAGGCTACCCACGGGCAGTGCGATAGGAACACCTGGACTGAGGGAGGGTCACGCAGCTGGGAAGGGAAGTGGAGAGGACACGGGTGGGGGCTGTGGCCTGTCCTGGAGTCCACGAGGGTGCAGCACAGTACGCCCCCCCGGGACAGGCCACCACACAGGCCGTCACCACTCGGACTCAGGGACAGCGTAATCGGCCCGGCATCACCAGAACTCTGCCACAAGGGACTCGGGAAGGCACAGCTGGGGGGCACAGCACTGCCTGTCCCACGTCACCCGCCTGTCGGGGACTCCACTGTTAGGATGGCCAATGAGTGCAGTGCAGATGCACTGCCTCGTGTCCTGGGTCCCCACAGCCACCTGTTGCAGCCCAGTGGCCCTCACAGCCCTGTGCCGTCCTCAGGCAGAGCTGCACGGAAGCACCTGGCACTGCTTTCCAGGTGAGCACAGCCCCACTGGGCAACTTCCCGGAAGCCGGTGCCGCACGGGTGAGGCCCACGCTGTCCCCAGCCCTCGGCCCAGGTCAGCACACGTGAGGGTGAGGCCAGGCCCACCCAACGTTATGTCAGTCACCGACTTCTGGTGTCTGCAGCAGCCTCCGGACAGTGGAGAGCAGCCAGGATGTGCAGTCCCTGAGCAGCAGCGCCTTCCTCCTTAGATGTGCAGAGCCAAATGGCCCCAGCCTAGGACGTAAGCAGCTCACGTGCAAGCTTCTCGGTTGGGAACTTGGGGACCACGGGGCTGGGCTATGGCTGCCGGCCTGGGTCCTGGCCCTCGGCACAAACACTCCTGGGCTCTGCTGCTGGCTCCAGCCCCACCGAGGCTGCCCACCCAGCTCCTCGCCTCCTGGCTCTGCCGAGGGCAGCGAGGGAGCAGAGGGCTCCCAGTGGGCCAGGCCGGGAACATGGAGGCCTTTGTAGCGACAGGGCGCCCCACATCGGGGCTGGCCGCAGGGCACTGCTGGAGAGCTGTGATGCTGCAGTTGGTGCTGCAGTGCAAGGGGCAGTCACCTGGGAGCCCACGGCAGTGTGGGCGTGTGCTTTGTCCCGTGGTGCGAGTTGTCACGACAGCACTTGCTGGGCTTGGACACAGGTGTGGACGCTGCCCACAACTTCGTGGGTGGAGCCTCAGGAGGTGGGGCAGAAGGTTTCATTTCATCAGTTTTTTTAAAGATCCAGATACAGGCCCAGGGAGGTAGTTCGGTGGCCCTGTGCCTGCCTGGCAAGGGCAAAGTCTTGAGTTCGATTCTCAGTACCGGGGGAAAAAAAAGATCCAGATACATACAAAATCAGATGCATTCGAAATGTTAAGAACCAAGCTGGAGCAAACAGGAGCAGCCCTGCTTGGTGTCCTCACCCCTCCCGCGTCCCCAGCAGCCTGGAGCAGTCGCTGTTTCACCACCCGCAGCCGCTCTCCTGGAATTTAATGGCACCATTGGATCATGGAGCCGCGGCCCAGCTCTGCACCAGCGGACTGGTCCTGTTCCCCTTCTGCTGAGAGATCCGTTCCCAGCGCCTACTGGCTCAGCTTCTCTGACGGCAGACATAATTCAACATAACTGAAGCCAATTTTGTAAAAAACAACAGGAACCACTACATCAGACAGCACAGTACATCTCCAGTTAGTCCAGTCCTCTTGAGATTCTCGAGGCAGGGTGTGAAGAGGGAGCCAGCAGAACAGGCTGGGGGCGGTCCGAGCAAGGCTGCGAAGAGCTTGGGCTTGCCCCAGGCCTGGCTCCGTGGGCAGTGAGGTGATGCCCTGACCTGGGGGCGACCTTGAGCACCACCTGCTGCGGGCCCGGATCCTCTGGGTGTCGCCTGGGTCCAAGGCCCAGGGCAGGTCAGCGGCACCCACACTGGGATGCAGGGAGGCGGCGACGGAGCAGTCCGGAAAGGGCGGCCGTGGATGGCGGGTGCCCACAGTCCCTCCAGGATCCACTGGCTGCCCCCGTCTGCTGCTGAAGTCTCGGCACAGACCCAGTGGCAGGAGAGCTGGCTCACATCTGCACTCGGTCCTGACTGTCCAGGGTCACCAGGTCCCCGAGCCTCTGGCCCACCTGGCAGAGACAGGTCACATGTCCTGGTGGGATTCTGATTTCATGCAGAGCTTAGGACTGAAGCCCAGACTGGCCCAGGCAGCCCTGATCTCAAGCGTGGCAGGCCTTGGATACCAGCGTGTCCCTCCAGGGCCCCGGGCATGCAGTGCCTCCAGCAGGCCTCAGGCCTCGGTGCAGGGGCAGTGCCAGGCTCCTGGTCCTGCCCTGCTGGATGTGGGGGCCGAGAGGCGGAGCCCTGCATGTGCAGATAGACGAGTGCCGCCAGCTCCCCAGTGCCAGCAACGGGTGCTGCTTGTCCTGGTCTGGAGCAGCTCCTTCCCTAGGGTCCTGGTTCCCCTCACAGCTTCCACGCTTGCTGCAAAGGCATTCATGTCCTCTCTGCCCCTGGTTCGTGTGGCTCAAAGGAGTCCAGACATCACGGGCAGGGCCAGGTCACAGCGAGGGCTGGGAGGACTCACGTGGGAGGCCCATTTTGGGTGGCCCAAGCCAGGGTGATCCCCACGCCTGAGGCCGGAGGAAGGTGTGGGCCAAGGGAAACCAGCGTTTCTCAAAACTGTCA